CACCTCATCACCCAGCAATGGACCCAGGCAGGACACATAATAGCTCCCACGTCCAGACAAACGTTGGCTTTCGCCACGCTAAATGCAGTGCCAGTGCTAGCATATGAAAATGCTCCTGCTGAAGCATGACCATCCGGAGGAACAATCAATCGAAAAAAGAAAAAACGATCAAATACGGCCCTGTAAGGGGCAATGTTCTACACCTTTCACCAACTTTACGGACAGGATACCAACGAATGTAGGGATGATCCTCGATCCTCAAATTGGAGTAATCCACACTCTTCGAGAAGGGGTGAATACACCCACACGCCCACCTCCCCGAATAGGGGAGAGAGGGGATATAGTGACCAATCACCCCGGAGGAGAGAATCCAGAGACAGAGGAGAACCCAGGCATAGGGACCAGGCCCTATTTGGAGGCCAAGTTATTAGGGAAATTAACACAATCATTAGAGGACCTCACATCGGGGGTAACACCAGGAACGGCCAGAGGAATTACACAAGGGACACGAAGGATCCATCAATGATTACTTACAATGTCAACCAGACCCAAGAGGCCAACAAGATGGCCCCGATCACTTTCTTTCAAGAAGATGCACAAGGAGTTCACCACCCCCATTGTGATGCGTTAGTGATAAGAGCCGTAGTGGCTAGAAATGAACTCAAACGCATACTCGTCGACAATGGCAGCTGGGTAAATATACTGTTCGGATCCACCTTTGATAAAATACAGATTAAACATGGGTTGATCCCTATAGTCAACCCGCTATTTGGATTTAATGGTGACAGCATCATCCCACGATGACGAATTACTCTACCTGTTGAGATGGGGTCAGGCCCCCTAGTGGCCTACCACTTCATTGAATTCCTGGTGGTGGACCACAGGTCAGCTTACCATGGAGTATTGGGCCGACCCGCATTGAAAGATTTTTGGGTAGTTACCTCTATCCATTACTTGTGTATGAAGTTCTCAACTGAGCATGGGATTGCTACAGTGCGAGGCGACCAAATGGGCTCAAGGGCATGTTACCTCAATTCTCTACAAAAATTTGAACCCCGCACTGTTAATATCATTATAACAGAGGCCGACAACGAAGTCGACATGGACATTGATATGCTCGACGCCCTTGAACAAGGGCACACCTCCGAACAGGAGAAAGACGTCGATGTGATGGAGGCCCTTGAAGAAGGACACCCTCTTGATGAGTTGGACCCTAAATTATCGAGTATGCACCGAATGTGACTCCAATGGAAAAGCTGGAAACCTTCCCCGTCAACCTTGAAGACCCCATTCAGGTCTTGCGTATAGGGAAAGCACTACCCCCCGGGATGAAAGAAGAAATGATGAACTTCCTAAAAAGGAACCTGGATGTCTTCACCTGGAAGCACAAAGATATGGTGGGAATAGACCCAAGGATCGGTTGCCACCATCTTAACATCAACTCCTCTTGCATCCCACATCGGCAGAAAAGAGGAGCCCTCAACTCAGAGCAATATGAGAGGCTCAAAGAAGAAATCGATAAACTCAGCCACAGTAGCTTCATCAGGAAATCTATCTACCCAAAGTGGATATCAAACCCGGTCCTCGTAAAGAAAGCCAGCGAAAAATGGAGGGTATGTACAGACTTCACAAATTTGAACAAGGCATGTCCTAAGGACAGCTTTCCTCTCCCAAAGATAGACCAACTGGTGGACTCCACTACTGGGCATGAGCTCTTAAGCCTCGTGGATGCATACTCATGGTACAACCAAATACCCATGTTCCGACCTGATGAGGAATCCACATCGTTCATCACATACAGATGATTGTACTACTATAAGGTAATGCCCTTCGGATTGAAAAATACCGGAGCCACATATCAGGGGCTGGTCAACATGATGTTTGTCGAGCTCATTGGCAAAACTATGAAAGTCTACATGGACGACATGCTAGTTAAAAGCCTCCAGGTGAAAGAACACGTAAGTCACCTCGACCAGACCTTTTGGTTTCTTAGAAAGTATAAAATGAAATTGAACCCCCTCAAATGCACCTTTGCGGTAGCTTCGGGTCAGTTTCTAGGATATATTATAAACCAAAGAGGAATCGAGGTGAATCTGAAAAAGATAAGGGGCCTACTAGAAATGAGGTAACCTCAGAAGCCAAAGGAAGTACAAAGCCTCAATGGCCGATTAGCCGCTCTCAGTCGCTTCATTTCCAGGGCCACTGACAAGAGTCTATCCTTCTTCAAAGTCTTGAAGCAAGGAAAGAAATTTCAATGGACAAGCGAATGCGAGGAAGCCTTCCAAGCACTGAAGAAACACCTGGGAGAGGCATCCCTACTATCCAAGCCTCAACCACGAGAGCCACTACTATTGTACTTGGTAGTCTCAGACGAGGCTATCAGTGCAGTCCTTGTCAGAGAGGAAAACACGCATCAACTACTGGTGTATTATATTAGCAAGGCACTGCTCCCAGCAAAGGCGCGCTACCCAGTTATGGAGAAACTTGCACTCTCTCTAGTTACAACATCGAGGAAACTGAGGCCATACTTCCAGCCCATTCAATTGAAGTTCTCACCAACTTTTCCTTGAAACAAGTATTGCAAAGAACAAATACTTTTCCGACCCTGGAGCGCCATCAAGGGCCAGACCCTCACATATTTTATGGCAGAGTTTACCAAAGCCCCAGAAATGGAAGCGACAATGAAACCAGTCAAGCCCCCAACATGGAACCTATTTGTAGATGGATCGTCAGGAGAGACTGGTTCCAGAGCAGGAGTTGTTTTGGAAAGTCCAGAGGGCCATAAACTAAACTGCACAGTCGGGTTTGGCTTTGAAAAACGCTGTAGAATATGAGGCCCTCCTAGTGGGCCTTAGACTAGCGAAAGAAATGCAAGTGAAAAGGCTCCTAGCAAGTAGCGACTCGCAGCTTGTCGTAAGTCAGGTCAATAGAAAGTTTGCAGCCAAAGACAGTGGCATGGCTACATATCTGAAATCGATTATGAACCTGGTCCCTCACTTTGAGAGATTCGAATTGGTTCAAGTCCCACGCTTCAAAAATACACACGCGATGCCCTATCCAAGTTGGCCAGTAGCAGGGATTCAGAGTTACTAAAAATTGTCCCAATTGAGCGCCTGTCGAAGCCTTCCATCTCTGGAGGTGAGGAGGCACTATGGATTGAAGACACCCCACTTTGGATGCAACTCATCGTAGCCTACCTCAAATATCAATCGCTGTCAGCCTCAAAAAGCGAGGCGAAGAAATTGTAAAGGAGGGCTGCTCACTTTGTTCTCCAGGACGATATGCTCTACAAAAGGGGCTTCGCCTCGCCACTTCTCCAATGCGTGAGAAGGGAAGAAGCCATGTACATACTCAGGGAAATCCATGAGGAAGTCTGCGATAACCACTCCAAAGGAACAGCTCTGGCACACAAAGTTCTTCGACAAGGCTACTTCTGGGCGACCCTGAAAAAGGGACTCTTGCCAATTTGTTCAAAAATGTGACAAGTGCCAACGTTTTTCAAACATCTAAAGGCAGCTTTCTCAAAGCCTCTCCGTGGTCACCAGCCCGTGGCCGTTCTCCAAGTGGGGCATAGACTTCATTGGCCCACTACCAAAAGGAAGCCGAAGCGCTACTTTTGCCATTGTTGCCATTGGCTACTTTAGCAAGTGGGTGGAAGCTGAACCTCTAGCAAAGATTACTGAAGCGAACACCACAAAGTTCGTCTGGAAAAATATCATTTTTAGGTTCGGCATTCCCCACTCTCTAGTGTCTGATAAATGCAGGCAGTTCGACAACAAAAAGATGCGAGACTTGTGTAACGAACTCAGCATAAGAAAGGACTTCTCAACACCTCATCACCCCAAGTAAATGGGCAGGTTGAGGCAGTGAACAAAACTATCAAACAAACCCTGAAAAGGAAGCTTGATGCCTCAAAAGGGGCGTGGGTCGATGAACTTCCACATGTCCTCTGGGCCATTCGAACAACCAGCCGAACTACAATAGGTGAGACACCCTTCTCCATGACCTACGGATCCGAAGCCATGAGTCATGTCGAGGTGGGTGTCCCCTTCCATCGTCGGATACATTTCAATGAGATCGGCAACGATGAAGCTCGAGTGCACGAACTTCACCTCCTTGAAGAAAAGAGGGATTCCTCTCAAATAAAATTGACAAAGTATCAAAGAAAGATGACCCGTTATTACAACTCTAAGGTCAGAAACTTAACTCTTCATCTCCTCAGAAGGGTCTTCCGATCATCAAAGCCGACTGGGTCTGGAGTGTTTGGACCGAACTGGAAAGGTCTTTATCATATCCGCAAAGAGTCCCGACCCGGCACTTATGAAGTAGAAGACATGGCAAAGAAGGCACTGCCTCATCAGTAGAATATTGAACACTTGAGAAAATACTATCAATGAGAAGGGTATGTTCAGATTCGATCTCCATTTTATTCAGTCTATTGTAACATTCCTATCTTGCTAAGTGCTAGAATTGCCGTAGTAAAATATAATGTTGTAACGACTCAATCATCCACTGTTATATGGGTTAATCAATTGGTGCCTAAGTTCTTCAGTGGATTTTATGTGTCAATCTTTTTCATCAACTGGTTACTCTGGGTAAGTGATGCTTAATGTTTATTTGTCCATTCCTCATCAAGATAGAAATAGTTCGACGTAAAAGTAAAGTAAGAAAAAGCAACAACACGTGGAAAAACTTTGATTTCATTGATATCAAAACAAATTACAAAATGAGGGCCGAAGCCATTACAACGTATTCCTATTCTATTCGGGGGGCTTCAATCCCGGCCTCCGGCTTGACCTCTGGAGGGGCTTCAGTAGCTTTCTCGATGACCCTGTCAGATCGACCTCCGGTAGGCCCACCGAATCCGCTTCCAAAGAAGTTAAGTCCAGAGTAGGGTAGACCACCCTTAGGCGATCCGACATTGCCTGGGCATTCCACGAGGCCCAGAAGTTGGCAAAGTTGTCGTACAATGGATGTTCTTCAAAGTGATCGATGAAGTTTTACATTGCTGACTCCCTTGCTGCCTTCATCTCGGCCTTCAGAGATTCGATCTCCTTGGCCTGGGCCTCCACCCGTTGCCTCAGCTCGGCCTTCTCTTTGTTGGAGGCCTCCAAAGTCTCAGTGGCGAGCCGGTGGTGCTCATTAGCATGATGAACCCTCCTTATCATAGCAGCCACCTGGCACTCCACTTCATATAGCTCCTTCTTCAGTCTCTTTACCTCTGGATTGGACCTCATCAGCCGGGCTTTCGCTTTTTGCCTCACCTCCTCTGCTTCCGAGGCCTTTGCCTGGGCAGCTCGCATCGCATCCTCGTAGTGCAGCGCCTCCTCCAGGCGCTTAGCCAGATCCTCCCTCCTAGCTTCGAGATCCTTGACCAAGCTCTGAAGTTGAACGCTCGTGCTCAGAGCCTCGGCGATGCAAGCACTGTTGGCAGCCACCAGGTCTTCAGTAGTGCAGGAGGTTGTGTAGTCTCCACTCCTTAGTCCAATACTTATTATGGACCAGGGCAATGGTCGTCGTCTTCGAAGGCAAGGCCTTTAAAACCTCTCTCATCAGCTCCTCTTTATTGGTGCCCAGGAAGTCCACCTCCTTCTTCAGGCGAGCCCTTTTCCTCCTCTACTACCCCGGCACTTGTGTGACTGGGATGGCAGCAATCGGGGGGCGATCGGGGCAGTAGCAGGGGCTGCCATCCTCTCTTTTATAGCCACCTCGATGGGAATTATTATTTGACGAAGGACTGGGACAGCCCTCGCCACTGTGGGCCCCTTCGACGAACTGGCAGCCCTCTTCCCCTTTCTTTGGAGAGCTGCCTTTGGATCCTCCTGCTCCTGCTCCTGCTCCTGCTCCTCCTCCTCTGCTGCAGGCTGGAGCTGCTTGCTCGCAGCCACTAGGTCCTCCATTTGCTTCTTATAAGCAGAGGAGGAGGTCTTCAAGATCATTGCCTCGGCCATCATCCGCTGGATAGTTTTGAAGTCGGGCCTCACCGGCCTCTTCTTGTTAAGATCGTCTACAGTAAAACAAAATGGATTAGCACAAGTACAATGAGTTCGGAAACAAATTACAATAGATGCACTCCAGATAGTTACCTTGGGAGGCCATCAGTTCGTGTGTAACAAAGTGAATGTTCTTTCAGATGAGCTCGTTATAAGACCTCCTCTTTAGCGGAAGCTGATAAACGATACAGATTATGTCAAACTCCTCGGCAGAAAGCTCGCACCGAGGAAAAGTATCTCTAAGAATAACAAATAGTTAATTTTCGGGCTGATGAGAAACACAAAAAGTCACAAAGCTCAATACTCACTAAGTGTAGAATACTTTGGGGGGACTGTAAGAGGCGTCAGGGGGTCCCCTTCCATTGTATCCCATCTCCCTGAGGCCCAGCACCATGAGCTCTTCCATTCCTTGATGGAGCTCGACAGATCGAGCACAAATGGAGTGTAAGAACCCCATGAAGTCAGATAGTGCCACCCCTGGTCTTATCACCTCCACCGCTACCTTAGGGATATACAAAGTTTGAAACACTGAGAACGGCATCTCTACCCCGAACGACGCCTCCTTCCATAACATCCATGACCCCACCATTTAGCTCCAAGAATTGGGGTTCAATTGGGTCGGGGCCAAGCCATAAGTCCTCAAGACATAGCGAAAGAAAGGGTGGATCGGCAACCTAAGTCCAGCCCTAAAGAGCGCTTCGCTCACAGCTACACACCCCAACCTAGGGTAACAAGCCCGCTCATCAGGCTCCAACAATATCAGGTCTACGCTATCAGGGATCCTATACTCTGCTCCAAGTCTACCGAGGTCGACCTCTCTTAACTTCGATGGGTAGTCAGAAGCCCCACAATGTTCTGACATATCTACTGGGCTATCAGGCCTCCGCCACATGTTCTCCTCCCCCTATTATGGCCTCAGCCACCTTATCGGACATCGCCAATATAGGGTCATCCACTCGAACTACGCCTAGTTCCCTCCCTGAAGTGATACTACTCTCAGAAGCCATTCTTAGAATTAAAAAACAACAAGAAGAACTAGAAAAATACTTACTGAAATGAATGGGTTGGGGTATTCTACGGTCGGAAAATAACAAATGGCCCTCCGTACTCGTCAAAAATTGAGAATATCACCGGAAAACGCTCGAAACTCGTCGAAAATCGCCAACAAATTTGAGAGCAATACGGATTCTGAGTTTACAAAGGTAAAAACATTCGAATGGCACTAAGTCCACTTTTTATAGGAAATTCCAGATGATCCCCACTGTTGAATTCAAACGATGTCCATCTAGACCGTTTACCTCGTCACAAATCTGGATCATTAAAATGAAACGCCAGATTTGATCAACGCCCAAGATCTTACGGTGCCCCTCGTGCACGCATAAAATGCGTCGCCTCGGACAAGCAACAACCGTTAGCAATAAGTGGCCGTAGCAGCCTTTTTCTGGGGACGGGCATCACATCCAACTGTCGCCTTGAAAATACGCGACAGCTGTCACATCGATTAACGTAATAATAAGGCGCTTCAGATCAGAGATAATCCATCCCAATTCACCTCGAATGAATGCACTCCCTAGCTTTAAAAGTTTCGGCGCCACTGACGCGGAGTCCCCTGTGGGTCACCGCCTCAGTGGCACGACTCCTTAGCTTTGAAAGGCGTTAGCTATCTCCCAAAACGTCGTCCCCTGTGGGTCAGTGCATCAGTGGCAGATGTGCTCTTCACCTAGCTTTACAAAGCTTCGGCGCCACTGACGTGAAGTCCCCTGTAGGTTACCGCCTTGATCGCATGACTTCTCAGCTTTGAAATGTGTTAGCCATCTCCCAACGCGTCGTCCCCTGTGGATCAGCGCACCAGTGGCAGATGAGCTCTTCACCTAGCTTTACAAGCCTTGGAGCCACTGACGCGGAGTACCCTGTCAATCACCGCCTCGGTCGCACATTTCATCAGCTGAAGACAAGGCTTTAGCCATCTCCCAACGCGTCGTCCCCTGTGAGTCAGCGCACGGTTGGACGATGAGCTCTTCACCCAACTTTATAAGTTTCGGTGCCACTGAAGCGGGGTCCCCTGTGGGTCACCACCTCGGTCGCATGTTTCCTCAAGCTTTACGAAGTGCTTTCCCCCAACGCGTCGTCCCATTTGGGTCAGAACATTGGTGGAGAATGTGCTATTCCCCCAGCGGAATCACCTCACACGACTCAGCGGAACACTGAAAGCTCGTCACTAGACAACGAGTGATCGACCCAGAGGATGCCCCACCCACATCACCTCGGTTATCACTAGCCTCAACCAACAGGTGTTCAGCACATCTGCTCACTTCACCCTTTTACACCAATACCTTATCAGAATCCACAGTACTTACTTCAAGGCCAGGATACACGGTCGAGAAAATAAGTCCACCCATGATATGAATATTCATGCCTGAACTTGGGGGGACCATTGTTACACCCCTAACCAAGCCACTTCCACTTCGACACAAAGTCACATCACTCTCCGAAGCTCCACGCGTCCACCCGAAGTGGTTCTGGAGCGATGCCAATTTCTTACGACCTCAACATGACGCGCTACAAGGTGAATAGATCCAATGAAGCAACCGGAGTGTCCCTCAACGTTGAAACATTGAAGGACCCAAGGCACTCCCTTAACAGATCCCTCTGCCGCCATTGTCAGAAAGATATCTGTCAGGATCTTGACGTGACGTCTCCATAGATCTAGTTGACATGACACATCGACTTTATGTCAACTCAATTCAGAAGAACTAATTGTCTGCCCATGCTAGATGCGGCTGAGTGACGCCTATGAGCAGACGCCTCACACCGTCAGATGCATACATGTGTCCCACATCCAATGGTGCTCTACACCTATAAATATTCAAGGTTTGGCAAGAGATAAAGGTAATGAAAGCTCTTATAACTTAGCTCTCCATACTAAGAAATATATATTCTCCTTCCCACTCTCTTGCACCACAAGAGCACTGTTCTGACCACCTAACGCTGACTTGGTCGTCGGAGTGTATGCAGCCGCCGCCACCACCGTTGGTCCCGACCGTGTGCTTCTGACCGTGCGTTGTTGTGCGCAGAGAGGATTATATGGAGTAGCTATTCGTTGGCCATGTAGAGGGTCCAAATATCGAAGTCAACACCTATCACGTTTTATCTATAAAGTCCAAATTTAATATAATGTTAATTGAACTATAAGAATATATAATTTTCCATATAATTGACTAAAAAATGTGTCCACGTAGGATCTATTTTCAGTAATCTCAAATAGTTTTAATTATTTGTTTGTATTTAAATATTTGAATACAAAAATCTCACGACGCCATCACAAAATCACATGGTATAATTTTGGAAAAGTAAGAAAATCCATATTCCTGTAACATCAGCCTTCCCTCTTGACAGAAGGCGTACGCCAATGTGTTTACGAAGCCTTGTATGTCTTGTGCAAAATCAATAATAACTTTTCTCAAAGGTAACGACGTATTAGTTACATTTATTAGACAAAAATCGCATGAGTATGAACTAGATGTTAACTTAGTCACTCTTTGGCTTCCATTTTTTAATTTTTTTTTTTTTCGCAAACTCATTTTCAATTAGACATTTCATGAGACCAACAATTTTGATCAACTTTTCAAACACATATTAATATCAATCTTTATCAAAATCCTTTATAATTGGCTAATTTTATAATTGTCTTTATCATATTAAAAACTAATTTTTAACTAAACCAAACATTGGCTAATTTTATAATCTTTATCATATTAAAAACTAATTTTTAACTAAACCAAACATTGGCTAATTTTATAATCTTTATCATATTAAAAACTAATTTTTAACTAAACCAAACATTGGCTAATTTTATAATCTTTATCATATTAAAAACTAATTTTTAACTAAACCAAACATTGGCTAATTTTATAATCTTTATCATATTAAAAACTAATTTTTAACTAAACCAAACATTGGCTAATTTTATAATTGTCTTGTCGAGTGTTGTCTAGCCATCATGCGAAATATGTTAGGTATTAGTATAATATGTACCTTATAGCTCCTCATTTTAAGCTTATCAACACCAATATGTCAAGCATGCTAGTAATGTTTTGTTATAGTTTTTGCTCACATTTAAAAAAGGAAAAATTGCAGCAGCGATTCCTAACATTTTTTTATAGACTTTATCCTAACCTTCATTTTGTGTCAGCGAATATTTCTAACCTTTAATAAGTATGCATCTGAGGTCCATCTGGATGGAAACCGTCCAAAATACCATCAGTTGATCGGAAAAATTTCTTGAACTATCTACTACCGCGACAATTTTATTGGATGTTAATATCTTTTTTGTACGGTTTCCGTCCAGATAGACTTCAAGTGCATATTTATGAAAGGTTAGGAACCTCCGTTGATACAAAATGAAAGTTAGGGTAAAATCTGTAAAAAGTGAAAATGTTATGGATCGCTGCTGCAATTTTTCTTTAAAAAAATGTCTGCCACTTAAAAGATTGGCTCGACAACCTAAAATTTTAATGCTTTTCTATAAAGTAAGTAGATCGTAAAAGATTGGAAAATGCCACTTTGACAGAAGAATCTAGCCAAATTCTTTAACTGAAGACAAAAGATTTCTAAAACTAAGAGATGAAGACTTAAAAAACAAAAATGACAAAGATAACCATCATAAAACTACTTTAATTTAATTTTCTTTTTGTTAAATATATTCACACCACAATTTTTAATAACTAGACTATATTTAGGCCCTGTTTGAGTCTTATTAATTTCTTGTAATATATTATGAAATAGTAAATTTATGAAAAAATGTATGATGAAAAACGAAAAAAATTGATTTACGTGTAATATTATTTTTAATGAAAAATTTTTGATTGAAAATTAATAATGTAGAAAAATAATGGAAAAAAATAAGAAAAATGGGGCTCAAACAAGGGTTTAATTGCATGAAAAGTTTATAACATTTACACATTATCATATTTATATCTCAAACTTTTTCTCATCGCACTCTTATTCTCAAATTAATATAAATTGTTCATGATTTTATTCCAATTTTTTTTAAATCGAGTAAAAAAAACTCATTTGCACATTATTTTCTAAATAAGCAAAATAAAT